GCTGGGCCGAGGAGGACCAGGAATTGTATCAGAGCAACAGAGGCGATGGCGCTCCTCAGAAGTGCGAGGACGATCTCCGAAAGGGCGCGCGGGGACTCGGAAAAACTCGCCAGGGTGAGTCCTTTACCGTAAATGGAGGGTCATGTCGCCGTTTCTATTGCGTAATGTGCATGTGCTGTTTGCATTATTTCAAGGGATTCCAGTATCATCCAGTATCTTTTAGAAGTGAAAGACGAGGGTTAAGCTAATGCATACAGTGTTTGTGCAATACTCGTCCCGCATCAGGCAGTGTTTTCGGAGCGAATCCTTCTTTGCTCAGGGCGCTCTTAAAGCAGATGCAGCGATTGAACGAACTTTTGTAAACAGACAAGCAAAGGCCTTGCCCCCCCCCCTCCCCCCCCCCCCCCCCCCCACATTCCTACCGCCCCACTCACTCGCCTCTCCCCGCCGCCCGAAGGTGCTGTTCGAGATGGCGAGGTTCCACGCGCCCTCCACCATCTTCGTGGACGAGGTGGACGCCCTGATGGCGCGCGCGCAGGGCGAGCAGGAGCACGAGGCGTCGCGCCGCATGAAGACCCAGCTCCTCGTCGAGCTCGACGGCCTCACCAGTCCAACGACCACGTCTTCCTCCTCGCCGCCTCCAACGTGCCCTGTGAGAGGCGGCGCCGGCTCCTGCTCCCTCCTCCTCTCCCCCCCCTGCTCCTCCCCCTCTCCTCCTCCCCCTCCTCCTCCTCCTCCTCCTCCTCCTCCTCCTCCTCCTCCCTCCCTCCCCCCCTCCTCCTCCTCCTCCTCCTCCTCCTCTCCTCCTCCTCCTCCTCCTCCTCCTCCTCCTCCTCCTCCTCCTCCTCCTCCTCGTTTCTTCTCTTATTATTATTTTTTTTATCGCCCCCTCTTTCTGCTTCTGCTCCTCCTCCTACTGCTGCTAATGAGGATGATGACGATGAAAATAATGATAATGATGACGATAACATTGAATTGATGATAATCTAATAATTAGTATAATGATAATAATAATGATAATGTAATGATAATAAATAATGATACTGATAATACTAATGAAATGAATAATAAATTACATGATAATAATGATAATAATGATTTACAATGATAATAATGATAATAATGATAATAAATAATAATCATAATAATTATGATAATGAAAAAATAATGTGATAATAATGATAATAAAAGAATATCATAATAAATAATAATGAAAAAAATATAGATAATAATGATAATGATAATAATGTTAGTAATGATAATATCAATGATGATGATAAAAGTAACGATGATAATAATGATAATGCTTACTATTATAATGATAATAATATTGATAATATTACTAATGATAATGATGAAAATAAGATAAAATGATAATAATGATGATAATGATAATGAAATTAACAGTGACAATCATAACAACAAAAACAACGACAATACCAACCAAAGACTTAACGCCCATTATCCCACCAACACCAAAACGCCGACACCAATAACCCCGCCCACACCCTCCTCCGCCCGCAGGCAACTGGACCCGGCGATGCTGCGGAGGCTGGAGAAGCGGATCCTGGTGCCACTGCCAGGCATGGAGGCGAGGGAGGCCATGTTCAGGCACCATCTGCCCGAGGTGATCTCTGACCTCGCCGAGACAGGTCACGCCATCAACACTGACCTCGATTATGAGAAGCTGGCCAAGGTGAGGGGAGGAGAGGAAGGGGAGTGGAAGAGAGCAAAGAGAGGGGAGGAGAGAGGGAGAGGGAGCTAGAGATGGAAAAGAGGGAAAAAGAGGGGGCGAGGAGATAAAGGGTAAAAGGGAGAAGGGGGGAGAGGAAAGGAGAGAAAGGGAGGGGGGGAGAGGGAAGGGAAAGAGAAAGGGGAGAGGGAGAAGAGTGGGAGAGAGGGAGAGAAGAGAAGATGAGAGAGAGAGAGGAGAGAGAGAGAGAGAGAGAGAGAGAGAGAGAGAGAGAGAAGAGAGAAGAGAGAGAGAGAGAGAGAGAGAGAGAGAGAGAGAGAGAGAGAGAGAGAGAGAGAGAGAAAGAGAGAGGAGAGAGAGAGAGAGAGAGAGAGAGAGAGAGAGAGAGAGAGAGAGAGAGAGAGAGCGAGAGAGAGAGAGAGAGAGAAGAGAGGAAAGAGATAGATAGATAGATAGATAGATAGAGATAGATAGATAGATTAGATAGATAAGATAGAGATAGATAGATAGAGAAGAGAAGAGAGAGAGAGAGAAAGGTATAAAAGGGAGAACAAAGAGAGACAATCAGACAGAAGAACAACAACACACAGGCAAACAGAGAGAACGAACCCCCCCCAACCTCGTTCCTCGAGCACGACCTAACCAAATCTCTTCTCACCAGGTCTCAGAAGGCTACAGCGGCTCCGACCTGCAGGTGTGTCTGTCGTGAGCCGCCATGGGATGCCCTCAGGAAGGTGTTCAACGTCTTGGAGGATCACTCAGTGAGGTCGGGAGAGCCGGGAGGGGAGGGTGCAATAGGGGTGCCGA